CTTCCTTCCTTCCTTCCTTCCTTCCTTCCTTCCTTCCTTCCTTCCTTCCTAAAGTGTTCTTCATGCTTCTTTTTTGAGAGAACCAGGAGTCGTCTCTCTCTCAGCTTGCTGTCCTAAATTCCTTTCAGTTCAGTTTAACTCTCCAGGCGGCTCTGCGGTGTCCAAGAGGCGGAGCCAAAGGGGTTCCCGATGTGCTGTAGAAGACGGTGGCGGGCTGGAACATTCAGAGACCTTTTTTCAGCTCCGGAAGAGGAAGAGCAATATCGCTTTCTGGACAGACTACCCTCTGCTGTCTCATCAGGAGCTGCTGTGCCATGAATTCTGCTTCCTCCCTTGCAACAAGGTGTGGGGCGGGATGACTCTAGGTTGCAACTGTCACTTTGTTATAAGGAAGATGCTAAGTTCAACTGTTTCTGGATGAGACATCCTCTGACCTTGAGCCGTTGAGTACGCCCCCTCGCACGACTCACTTGAGCCTTGTGCCGCCCCCACCCACCCCGTCTTATATCTGAGCACTCTGTCCGCCAGTCCTCGTGCTCAGCTGGCGCTCAGTTCGTTATGATCCCAGAGCTGAGACCTGGTATCAATAAGCAGGCACTCCAAATCATGAGCCGTGGGTCAAATCAAGCCCAGTTGGGTGGAGAAGATGCCGGTGAGGATTCGCTTCATAAAAGAAAGAGAGTTTTCATCACAGCGACCATGAAAGACCTTGTTTTGGGAGGATTTTCAAGCTGAAATGCACGGCCGATTCAGAGACGAGACCCAGGATACTTGTCTTTTCCTTTGACACGTCCGCTCGTGGTTTTAAAGCAGCAATAGAGATGCCGCAGACTGGACTGAGGCTTTTGGGGGGTAGGGATTGCCTTGCCGCTTCTGACCAAACTTCTATCTCGTTCAGTGCTGTGACTCCAGTTGCCGCGCGGGCCCGCGGGGGCCCCGGGGGGGGGGGATAGCCAGCCCCTGTCCCTGGTCTCCAGCCTCTGGCAAAAGGAAGTCTGCTACCTCAGGTTCCATTTCTAGCTACTGCGGCCAATAGCCATTGCTGCATCGATCAAGTTCTCCGTGAAATCTGAGAGTTCCGATTTCGAATCCTCCCACCCCACACTGCTGCTGTCTTTTGAAATAACTGGAATCGAGGATCTAGGCCTGCCAGTCTTTAGCTGCCTAGGCAATTCAGGAAAGAAGCGTTAAACTCCGCCGGCTTTCTTGCACCCGGCCGGAGACGGGAGATTCAAACTTCCCCTGCCCTTCAACCTCGGGAAGTCACCGGGTTTGCGAGTGTCTCCACCCTTGAAACCGATCCCTGTAAGAAAAAACAAAATCCTCCAAGATGAGCATGGAGATAAGTCAAATGGGGCCCCAAGTGCCTTCTGAGCAAAGAGTGCCAAAGGTTCAGACATTTCGGTAGAGAAAAAGAGGACCAAAGGAGAGTAAAAACTGTCTACAAGGCCGTAGGGGAGTGCTGGTGTGAGAGTGTAGAGCCGTAGCCAGCCTCTAGGTGGCAGTGCCTGCCAAGTCGTGGTTCATTTGCACATTTCCCTGGTGTTTGTCCCTCTATCCAGCCTTACACTTCAATGGTTTTGTTATGTGTTTCTACTGCAATAGTTTCCAAGCGGCTTTCCACTGAGGTCAGGATTCCCGAGGCGTTCCTCAGTCAGCAAGAGCAGAATCGCTCACCGTGACCCCATTTGCTTCTCCCGTGCACAGTCACAGGGGCGTATAGGGTGTGGTTCTAGGTCAGTGGCGATGTGGGTCAATGCTGAAGCTCAATGAGCATGAGTGACGTCCCACAGGAGCTGTTATGCTCGCCAGAATGGTGCCGCTGAGTCCTCTGGAACATTATGGGGTTCCTTTGCAGGCAGCTAGAAAGGAGAAAGGATTCCTTGGTTCATAGGAAGTTCCCAAGCCCCTGTCCTTAGGGGCTCAGATTTACTGTTAAAGAGTTTTCAGACTGCCATCTAAAATATAGTTGGCGGGGGGGGGGGGGGGAGAGCCCAGAAGTCACTCTTCATCGTGAAACTGCCACCTTTGTTTCTTGGCTGGCAGAGATTCAGCCTGGGGGGGGGGATAGTTCCCCCCATCTGTGTCCTGAAAACTGGCACATGCTGGGCAGTGACTGAAAGCACGGGAACTTTGCCAAGAAAAGAGGGGGGAACCCTTCTGTCCATAGGTGTGGCTGGATCCTCCGTGTATCCGCTCTCTTCTTCCCACCCCTCCCCAATCAACGTCCCTAAAGGTGACCATTGCACACTACAAACCAGGAGCAAGCTGGGGAGATCACACCTTGCTGGCAGAATAGAAGCCAGAAAAAAACGATCAGGTTTAAAGTGGTATGCATGCGTTTGATAACTGGTTGGGTGCAAGGCATCGGGGGTCAAGCCCAGGCCCTGAGAAGACCCCCCCCCTGCAGGCCAGGCCTGTGGCCCGTTGACCCTGAGCTCCTACAGTCTAAGAATTATGTTTGGGAGGTGCCTCCTGCTCCACACAGGGGCTCAGGAGGAGCCATTCTGAAGGCATCCCGGAATCTAGCACCTCCTAGCTCGGAATCCTCGAATTCTGACCCTTCGGAGACTACGGACGGGGAGGGAGAACCTGTGGCCGTTGTGGGGGTGAAGTCCCAGAAACCAGAAAGGTAACTAGACCAAAGAGGCATGATCCGGTGGCCCGTGAAGTTCTCTGCAACTAGCAGAAGCCAAATGCTTGAAGGCAAAAATCAGCAGACCTACCAGGGGCTGCCAGAATCCAATTGATGCCATTTTGATTTTTCTTTTGAGATATTCTCTCTCTCTCTCTCTCTCTCTCTCTCTCTCTCTCTCTCTCTCTCTCTCTTTGTGCGTGTGTCGTGGTTAAGTGCGCGGACTCTAATCTGAGAGAATCGGGTTTGATTCCCCACCCCTCCACTTGCACCTGGCTGGATGACCTTGGGCCAGTCATGGTTCTGATAAGAGCTGTCCTTGAAAAAGAGCAGTTTCTGTCAAGAGCTCTCTCAGCCCCACCAGCCTCACAGGGTGTCTGTTGTGGGGAGGGGAGGGGAAGGGAACGGAGTTTGTAAGTCACTCTGAGACACCTTTGGGTAGTGAACGGCGAGATATAAATCCAATCTTCTCCTTCTCCTTCTTCTCTCTCTTTCTCTCTGCGTTTGGGAAAATAAAGTCAGGGTGGTGGGGCTGGTTTTCAGGGTGAGCTCTACCCAGTTGCCGGGGGCCGT